TTGTCTATGCATAATTTACTATGAACTTATCTAGGAACTATTTTTTTAAAACCAGACCTGTTTTTCTCTAGTTTGAATAAATCGAATCCAATTGATTAGATGGTACAGTGGCAGATCCAGAAATTTTTGTCGGGGGGTCATGGGTCTTGTGGGTGATTTTGATATAAGATTTAGATTTTTGCACCTTTACGATTGATATGATTTGTGCCTCATGTAAGGGAACCAGTTTCTCAATAATTATTTTAAGCGATATATTAAACCAATGAGAGGATTTTAAAACTCAAATATCATACGAGTGCAAAGAAGGGTACAACATTAAGGGGCCTTAAATTTAAACCAAAAAAAAAATAAACCCACATACTCTATGACAGTAAAATCAAGTGTACAAGACTATTAAACCAAAGGAAAATTATTAAGATATAAATACTGAAAAATTAAGGACTGTCAATTTAAACTAGGTATTTAAAGACAATTAATTTAAACCCACCTATTCCAAAGTTAAGTAATTTAAATGCAATAACTCAATGTAAGTCTAAACATTAATGAATCTATAAAACATTTTTAATAAACTCTTGTCTTGTCGTTGGATATCCTATAACAATTTGTATAAACATTCATTTATTCCTTACTGCCATACGGAGTGGAAACATGGACTCTCAGAAGTCTTTGAAATGTGTGTTTTTCGAAGGATGCTGGAGATTTCGTGGACAGAGCACGTGACCAACAACGAGGTGATGAGAAGAATGAGGACTGAGAGAGAACTCCTAAATATTTTAAACAAGAGAAAAACGAGTTATCAGGACATATTTACAAAGGAGAAAAGTATAACTGTCTACGACTCATAATAGAAGGGAAAGTAGAAGGAAAAAGAGGTATAGGAAGAAGAAAATGCTCCTGGCTAAAGAATGGAAGATACTGGACAGGCACGGACACACATTCGATACTAAGAACAGCTTAAGATAGAGAGCAGTTTGCTGCAGTTATAGCCACCCTTCCGTAATGAAGAAGGAACCTTAATAAGAAGTGTAAACAGCATTTATGTAAATTAATTTATTCAACGAAAACATTACATAATTTAAGAATAGGTAATTCTATAATTAGGCATATTAGGCTACAAGTGAGTGAAATATTTTTTATATATTATATTTATATATATATATATATATATATAATTATAATTATATATATATATATATATATATATATATATATATATATATATATATATATATATAATTTTATGAAATGTATTATTTTTGCCAACAGATCAATATACAGACTTATACAGATCAATAACATACAATACACATACTTGGGTCATGAAATTAGAATAACCAGAGACAACCAAACCTGCGAGCTAAATAGACGAATCATGTTGGGATGGGCGGCATATGGACGGATGAGAGACATTTTTAAAACAAATATCCCAATTCACCTGAAAAGGAAGGCATTTAACCAATGCATCTTACCAGTCTTGACCTACGGAGCAGAGACCTTAACTTTAAGGTAAGCTACTGCCGAAAAGCTGAGGGTAACACAAAGGCGAATGGAGAGATCAATCCTGGGCCTAACCTTGAAAGATCGCGTAAGAAATGAGAAGATACGCCGACGAATGGGCGTAGACGATATTATACTGCGAATCAAAAAACAAAAGTGGAGGTGGGCTGGACATGTTGCTAGAATGGAAGACGGAAGATGGACGAAGAGATTATTGGAGTGGAGACCAAGAGCCGACAAGCGAAGTCGAGGCAGACCACCCACCCGATGGATCGACGACCTAAGGAGGATAGAAACAAACTGGATTGCAGCAGCTAGAGATAGAGAGAACTGGAGACGTTTGGAGGAGGCCTATATCCAACAATGGATGTGAAAATTCGGCTGGATGATGATGATGATTCTTTTTGCCTATCCGATTTAGCAAATCGCTCTATGATTGCATCAACATCTAGAGACATTTCAGGATGCACATTGATGAGTGCTAAACCAGTTAACCTTTCCTCCGAAGTTCTATTTCTAACCTAGTCTTTAGACGCTTAAGCGTAGAAAAACTGTACGCTCTGCTGTTGCTGCACTGACTGGCAGTGTCATTAATATTTGCAGAAATATACTGATATTTGGATATATATGAATATCGCTGTTTTCTAATACTTCTAAAATAGAATCAGGAAATTTTCCATTATTTTCACGACTCTTTTCCACTTTTCAATCCACAGTGAAAACTCTTGTTCTACTCTAGAATATGTAGTAGATGGTCCCAGAATATCCTGGAAGGTGTCAACAATTTTTTTAATGCAACTTTATCTTCTGGTGTGATATTAGCTTCCGGTGAAAGTCGTTCTTCTAAATAAGTTAAGATATTATCTAAAAGGGGTAAATAAATAGATCCTCGGAAATATTCTTCGCAAGAGTTAACAGGTTGGTTTTGACGAGAAACTTCAGGCATCTTCAATTCGATGTCTAGTTGTTCAGCGATTTTCTTTACTTCATAGTAAAGTTTGCTGAGAACATATTCAGCATTTGATCTTTTATTTTGAAGAATGTATTTAGTGTCCTCTATGGTCTCAGTGCCTTTCTTCCAATCTAATTTTGTTGACTGAAGAAGACGACTAAGTGATACAGTTGCACCTAAAACATCACTAAGACAAACTGCTGAAATGAGAAATTCTGGACTCTTAATAGTGTGCATTAATGAAAATGCATTAGCTGATGTTTTACTGTCCTTCCATGTAGAAAATGTTTCAAGAGCGTTGTATATTTTAATGATTGATTCGCCCTGGAACTGAAGATGACCTTCATGCCGTTCAACCCAACGAGTTTTACAAATACTTTACACAGCAGCCCCCATTTTCTTCTTAAAAGCACCATGTCGTTTGTAAGAGGCATTAACAAAAGCTACTACTTTTTTCATAGTTACTGAAGCGTTACGACATGATATAACTTTTGAGGAGCTTGCCAAAGAATTATTCAAAATATGATTGCTACATGGACAACGCACAGCATGTTTGGCCGGTTTTTTAATAAGTTAACGGCACCTTTCGTTTCGGATGCCATTACTGAGCAACTGTCGACACCAAAACCTACGCAAAGATTTAAATCTTAATTAAAATTCTTTACGGAATCTTCTTTCTCCTTGTGAACCGAAGTCTTCTTCTTGAATGAAATCGTAGGCGTTCATAAATGTGCTGAAATCTTCTCTAATCTCATTTAAATGAAGATATCGCAAAGACATTTTTCTTTACATTAAGAAATGGTAACATTTGGAGTAGTTTTACTAATTAATGTAGCATTAGCCGGAGCAGTTTCCAAATGTTTTCGTAGATCATTATCGCAAGCATCTATCCTAAACCGAAGCAATGCTCTAAAATTGCTATAATTTTTTCTGTACCATCGCTGTTTACAATACTTTTAATATTTTTATCATTGCTATGCCCTCCCAAGGAAATATTTGGTCTACCACAAAAAATAACAGTTTTTATTAATGGATTCAAATTCTTCCTATTTTCTTGAATCATTTCAACTCTTAACTTCCTGCTTATAGGGTTGATGGGTTTTAAATTATTTTTATTAGGATTATTTGATTTATATTTATTTTTGTTTGGGGGGACATGACCCCCGTGCCCCCCCTCTTGGATCCGCCACTGAGGTGGTAACTTTTGACCAACACATGAGACACATCGAACTACGGTTTAAAAGTTATGACGAACAAAAATTTCAGTCAAAATTTACAACTCGATCTGTATATTATTAAACAGTGTATATTATGTTAAATAAATTTTACATTCTACTTATGGTTTATCAATTATATATTTAAGTAAATCTGAAAGGTTGCATGATAATAATGTTAAAACGAACTATTCAATAAGAAGTGTAACCCTCCTATACTACGTTCCACGTTAAGAA